ATTTGTTATATATGATCATAAAATTTATTTTTAAGTTAATATGTAGATCGAAAAACATCAAAGCTGCAAAGTTCATAATAATTTTATATGTTTTTTATTATAATTTCATATATAAAAAATTTACATATAAAATAGTATGACAAATCATGTGACTGATATAGAAAACTCAACACTGCAGAAAGAGGAACCCAGGATGTCTATGACATACTTACAAATTGTCTTCTGGGGACACCAAACTAGAAGTACTAATAATATCTAACTTAAGACACTAATTTGGAAGTAATATAAAAAGCAGCTTGGAAGTAATGCTATATATAGAAATAATAAAGATAATTGGTGGGACTTGTACAGTAGTATATATATATGAATAAAATATAGGTGATAGAATCTGGGCTGGTAAATTGAGAATTTGTAGTTGGACGGTCCGGCTATAGAGACCCAAGAAGATTAGGTTGAATACACAAGTATGATCATATATAGGTCTAATTGGAAACTGGGTGAGTTATATTTTGTTAATATATATAGTTAAATCTACAGGTAGAAACAAAAACATTGTAATATATATATGTTCTGCTTAAAAATAATAAAGTAGTGGTATAACCAACTTTAAAAATATATATATATATATATATATATAGTATATATAGCAATAACAGGACATAGAGTCAATTTTACAGTTATATGATAGTTGGAAAACAAATATCATCAAATTTAAAAACTTAGTTTATATCTAAATTAGAGTTTGGGAGGATTAAAAGAGCAGTTATTTAATAAAATTATACAAGAAATTTTTTTTATTAAAGCTTCAAAGATAGTTTACTAAACTAAATTTCGAGATAAATGTGTTTTTTGTAAAGCAAATGTTTGTTTTAATTTTTTTATATTACACATAATTATGAATTTTAATTGGCTGATAGACATTAGAAATTATATGATAGTAAAATCAATTCTACACCCTGGTATAGTCTAGTATATACAGTATAATAGTATACAAATCTAGATCGATCTCAGAATATAGTAATTGTATTTTTATAATTTTAGGCTTGTTAGAATCCTCTCAAAGAGAGGATCATTTTGGTAGTCAAATCACCTGAATTAGTTCAGTAAATCAAAACTTATTTACTATTAATATTAAATATTTAATAGTAAATATTTTTTGATTTACTAAACCAATTTAAATAATTTAGCTACCAAAATGATCTGCTTAAAGAGATGATTCTAACAAGACTAAAATCATAAAAATTCAAACACTAGATCCTGAGATTGATCTAAATTTGTATACTATTATACTGTATATACTATATATATTACTATATAGTATAGTTATATATGTTGGCAAAATCTATAAGATTTGGAATTAGGCTATAGACAAACTTGAACAAATAGGTTTGTCTATCTATATTTAAAAATCTCATGTGGCAAAACTGAACAAATTTAAAACTCAAATTCCAAATCCCAAACCCATCCCAAATCTCAAACACATCTCAAATCTCAAACCTGTTCCAAATTCCAAACTCATTCCAAATTCCAAACCCATTTCAAATTTTAAACCTATCCCAAATCCCAAATCTATTCCAAATCTCAAACTATCCTAAATCCCAAATTAATCCCAAATTCCAAACCTATTTCAAATCCCAAACCTGTCCCAAATCTCAACCTATTCCAAATTCCAAACCTGTTCCAAATCCCAAACATGTTCAAAATTCCAAACCTATTTAAAATCCCAAACCTATTCCAAATCCCAAACCTATTCCAAATCCAAAACTCATTTTAACTACTATATATAATGAAATCAAGTTAATTAAAGCTGATAATCAGCTATCACTATAGCTTAGAGTTGCAGCTTAACTATGGTTCTGCATTAGCTATATTGTAAAAAGTTTTATTATATAGCTATTGTAATAATAAAATTTTAAAGCAATATAGTATTTAAAATTTATGAAATTTCTTGTTTGTTTAATTATAACTTAAGTTCTAAACTGTTTAACAAGTTTCTTAATTCTAAAGTGGAAATAAATTATGTAATTGCCAGCCAATCAAATTATAGAATTTTGATGATCGCTAGTGAAGCAATACAAGAAAGAAAAACGAAAAACCTTAAAAATATAAAAAACAACAGTCTAAACCTATCTTGGGTAAGTTAAGCAAAAATATCAGAAAGGCAATTTTGTATATATATAATATTTAAAATCTAATTTAACTCTAATCTATAATGACTCTGACTCTAAAGTTAATTTAATAAATAATATAATTATATAATTTATCTCCACTTTAGATATTTTCTTAATTTAGTAGCCTGATCTTTAGTTCAAAATTTTAAAAAAGACTTGAGTTCTGAAAAGTCAATTCAGAACTTGGTTTTTTGTTCTATATTAGTACTAATATGCTTTAAAAGCTAAACTAAATTAATATATTTGTATTATATAGAAATACAATATATACGAATTAGCCTAAACTTCTAGAAGATGCTTCAAGCTAATTCCAATATATATATATATTATACATATATATATAAAGAGCTAATAAAAACAAAGTTTAGGACTCAATTTCAATTTTTATATAATATTTTTTGAAATTAATTCAGACTGTTTCTGAATTCAAAACTATAACTGGAGTTGTCCAATATATTCTAAATTAAGTTTATATTCATCTGTTTTTGATTTAGTATAGCAATATCGCTTAGCTAATTAGTTTAAACCCTGCATTAATGTTAATTATTGCACTTTCCAAATTAGCAAAACAATTAAATTTTATAAAGAATCCTGCATGTTAACATTGTAAAAACAATAGTATTTATAGGATTTGTAAAATGATTGAGTCACTAATTTGAAAAGAGTAATAATAATGTAAATTCTATAATTCATACCTAGGTATAGTACCCAACAAATAATTAAATACAAAATATTTGTTTAGTTTACTAGATCAAAAAAAGACATCTAAAACAATAAGAATTGGCTTAGTAAATAGCAGGTAAATGGTAGGCTAATTACTATTTACTGTGTGAAATCTATATTTATTATCACTCTTTCAAATTAGTAAGACAACCAAATTTTATGAATTATATGAATTCTGCATATTACTATTATAAAAACAATAGTATTTATAGGATTCATAAAATGATTGTATCACTAATTTAAAAGAGCAATAATAATGTAAACTCCATGATTCATATATTCAAAAAAACAATTGAATGCAAAATAATTGTTTAGTTTACTGGATCAAAAAAAAACATTTAAAAAATAAGAATTGGCACATAACCAATTACTATTTTTTGCATAGAATTTATATTCATTATCGCTCTTTTAAATAGTGAGACAACTGAATTTTATGAATCATATAAATTTTGCATATTACTATTATAAAAACAATAATATTCATAGGATTCATAAAATGATTGTATCACTAATTTAAAAAGAGTAACCGACAATAATATAAATTCCATGATTCATGCCTGGGTATAGTACCCAACAAACAATTGAATATGAAATAATTTGTTTAGTTTACTAAAGCAAAAAAGAACATCTAAACAATAAGAATCAATACAATTATTATTGTTAAGCCCTATATGAAATCTATGTACATTTATTATCGCTCATTTTGAATTAATAAGACAAACAAATTTTGTAAATCATATAAGCCCATATGTTACTATTGTAAAAAAAATAGTTACATGCAAGATTCTAATTCTTGAAATTATTTTGCTAATTTAAAATTAGTTTTTTATTTCTAATACAAAATGATAAAATTTTTCTCTGATTAAACTTCAACTGAATATTAGACTCTAGATTTATTATAGGTCTTAAATTTGGTAAAATATAAAAGATATTGGTCTTGAATACAATTATTTTTTGATAATAATAAAAACATCACTATAGCTATTATTAATTCTGATTTTTCCAACTTTTTTTTTTAAAAAAAATTTGAAACTAGTAAATATACAGATTCTACTTTTTAAATAGAAAATATTTTGAAATCAATTATAACCCATTTTTTTTCAAATAAAAAATATACTTTTTCTCTTCTTTCTTATTATATATTACATATAAATTATATTTAAATAAGATGGAATATGCTGAAAATGATGAAGTTTCAAATGAACCTTCTGCAGTTAATAAAAATGATCCTTTATTAACTAGTGAAGAAAATGTTTCTTAGTGAAAAAGGTTCTAATATAACAATACAGTCATCAAATAAAGGAGAATGACTACTAGCAACCAACTGGGATGAATATGACATAATTAATAATAGATTAAGAAAGCATAAAAGTGCAGGTTGCAGGTATTGTTCTACATCATAGGCTCGAGAAAGAGCTCAAGATATACAATCTCATCTTGCTATAAAATGTAAAAAAAACACACTGAGAGAAATTAGAATCAAAGTACTTAGAGATATGTAGAGTGAAGACAATTCTATACTATCAGGATCTAAATCTACTACCTTAAAAAAAAGAAAATCAAATTCATTGTTATCTCTGGATATCTATTATGATACAATTAAAGCTATCGATAAAAGTAAAGAAGCAAGGGTCAATAAATCACTAATTAAATAGATTGTAAGTTCAGATATTTCATTTTTAGCTTTTGACAATCTATATTTTGAAGATTATACAAAAATATTAAACTCTGGATATAATTCATCTAAACATAATGCATTAGCATTATCAATTTTAGATGCAGAGACAGCAAATATTATACTAAAAATAGAAAAGAATTGTCTAAGGCCAAAAACTTTACTTCATATATAAATAGTTGGTGTAGTCTATTAAAACATATTATATATACTTTTGTTATAGTAACAAATAAAAGAAAACAGTATATCTATGCTTTATGAAATTATTCTAAATTTTCCTATACGGCAAAGTTCAATGCTGAAAAAATTATAAAAGTATTAAAAATGTTGGTCCTAAAAAATTTGTAGCAATAACAACTGATGCTAAATTGGCAATAATAGTAGCCAAACAACAAGTTATAGCGAAATACCCAACTATTTTACCTATAAGATACATTGCACATCACATCTAACTTATTTCAAGTAGTATTTGTAAATTATCTTATATAAAAAAGATTCTAACTAACTATCAAACTATTATAAGTTTTTTTAAGAATTCTTATTTTGCTGGTATTGCCCTTAGAAAAGAGATTATATTCTCCTTTACTATTAGTGAAAATTTAAAATCAATGACTAAAACTCAGTAGTCAACTATATAGGATTCTTGTAAATCTATTACGTAATAAAACAAACATTAGATCAGTAAATAATGAGTTTCAAAAAATTAATACAAAATTGCATATTTATAAATTAAATAGATTTTTCAAACAGCATTTTTGCTATATTTTAAATTATAAATCTGAAAATGAATTAAGATTTTTCTGAGTTTAATTTTGAACCTTCTAGTATATTATATTATGATCATTATATTAAAAAATTCTATTATTTAAATAATAATATTGATATATATTCTTATTGTTATAAAATATGTTAATATTATAGAACATATTAGAGATTTTATCCCTATTAGATCCAGAAGATTGTAATGATCAAAACAAGCTACAATATATGATGAACGAACTATCAGTTAGCTAGATAATTAAGAAATAGATTTACTATATATTTCTTGATATTTTTTAATATTCTTAATGTTTCTTAATGTTATTTAATATTTCTTAATATTTCTTAATATTTCTTAATGTTTCTTAATGTTTTTTAATATTTCTTAATGGTTCTTATTATTTCTTATTGTTTCTTATAGTTTCTTATTGTTTTATATTTTTTTGATATATATTGTAAAAGCTATATAAACCCTAGCTTTTACTCTTTAACTTTAGAATTCATTTCCTGCAATGTTTTAAAATATTAGGATTCTATAGGAATAGATATCTATAGATAGTTTTGTATTTAGGCATTGTATTATAAATAAATAAACATATCTTTGCTCTAAAGTAAACCATGTCTCTATACTTTTAATAAATATACCAAACTGCTCTAGTGAGAAAATATTTCATTTACACATCACTTCATATCTCACACTGTTGTTTTAAATATTTCTGTCACTGTGTACTATGTTGCAGATGGTAAATTAAAAAGCCTATTAGCCACACAAACTTGCATGATTAGTTTTTATATCTTGTCTAGGTTAGTATTATTTTTTTAAATATACTAACTAATAAAAGTCTTTTACACCAAATTATGTAACTAATATGAAGGCTATTTAAAAGCCTAGGCTTAAAAGATTTCAGCACTATTTTACTTTTTTTTACTATAAGTTGAAGAATTTCATTAATTCTACAAAAAATCAGATAGATAAATAAATAGAAATTAGAATATTGATGATTGGGTTTAAGAATTTCAACTTAAAGCAACAGAATATGATGATGTTATTAAATAGATCTGATTATATAGTATATAAGAAATATTATACTAAAAAATAGGTTTACAATATGCTGATGACAGAAATTTGCGAGTATATTTTACTAGATAAGCTACATATTGCTAAAACTTAACTTATATTTTTACACAAAAATAATATTATTCATTTTGATTTTTAAAAAAAATTAAAATATAAACTTTGAACTATAAAAGTAGATAAATGAGGTATCTATAACATCAAACAATATATATATATTAGGCCTCTGCATGGGCCAGGTAGGGCCAGATAATAGCAATGCTCTAGCCCTACCTGTTTGTGTAAGAGCTTAACTTTTGAGCCCTTACCATTACCCTAGGGCCCAAAACCCAATACCCTAACCTGGCCTGTCAGGCCCACAGGTACTCATGAACTACCTGTGGGCCTAAATTTACCTATGCAAAATTACAAGTGCAATAATAAAACCCGCTAAGTATTGCTACCAAAATTAAATAC